TCCTGTGTGGCTGCCTGCCCACCTCCCAGGTGCCCCCGGAGGCGGGTGCAGGCCTGGAGCCCGCGCTGGCCTGGCCGGGAGAAGCTTCCGGCCTTTAATGGTGCAGCCGCCAACTTCCCTCTGCAGCCGGCAGCGCCCTGCGCCCCGCTGCCCCTTCATGGAGGGCGAGGGGCGGGGATGGACACCTTTGCCACTAACCACTCGGGTTTGTTAATAACCACGAACGACATATTAATCAAAAGTCTGACAAAATGAACTAGCGTGTCACAAAATTTAGTTTTATCCCACCCAGGATTCCCTGCAGTAATTACATTCTGGGGGTTTTCCCAAGGGGGTTTGTCATAAAAACGACTGAATATTTCAACACGATTCTCCCCACGCCACTGCGGCAGACTTCGCTGTTGTAGGCTTTCAGGGAAAGGGGATGACAGTCTGTATAACGCCGCTGTGGGAGATTCTTGAGCATTAGTTACAAGGTAACCACGCGTTTTCCCTGGTCTCCCGCTCCTGCGGGGCGTCTGGCCCGTTGCGCCCCCTAGGGACTCGCGTCCGATGCGCCTTTTCTCCCTCCGCATGGCCCGGCTGGGGTCCGAGCAGCGGGGCGGAGGGGAAGCTAGCGGGGACCAGCCCGGCCCTGTATGACACTGGACTAAACGGAAGCGGACCTGCGACCTCGAGAATCTCTCCAGACAGATCCCGGCTCTGAGTTCACAGTCAGTTTTCGTGGTTATTTCAGGAATAAATGTGACCCTGGTAGCTTCGTTTCATTTCCTTCAATTTTCCAGTGAAATCGGAGCCCCTGTTCTACGCTGTCAAAGCAGATAACACACACCTGCCAGGTGAGCACGGGGAGGCTATGGGCCTGACGGGGGTCAGGGTGCCACTGGCCCCAGCGCTGGGGCCCTTGGGGAGCGAGGTGCTGCGCTCTGCATGCCGGGGCGCAGGTTCCTCTCGTCTTCGCCCCCTTCCTGGTGGAGCCTCGATTATCACAACTGTTTTATGTTTATTCATTTGCTATGAGAACATTGGTCTTTCCACTCTAAAGGGGGTATAGATTTACACACACACACACGCATGCACACTGGCTGGCTGGATGTCACCCTCACTCGCCACGGCGGTGAGCTCTGAGCTCGCGGCGTGGAGGGGAGCGCAGGCGCCTGATTCGCTGTGTCCGCAGCAAACTGCAGGCGGCCTCTCCATGATGCCCGCGCGCCTCCTGGGGCGGGTGCGCCACCTCACCAGCCCCGTCCAGGGATTCTGCTCCGCTGCGGTCTCCGGGTTCCCAGGGCTGACCCCTGAGCTATTTCTAAGAGCCAGCGGGCCGCGATTCCCAATGCGATCCTGGACCATGGGCGTCCTCTGTCGGTCATCTGAAGAACGGACGCTCAGGCGACACTGAAAACACCCGCCGGGTGCAGGCGACCGCGACTCGTCACGCGGCTCAAAGGGTTTAGATTGCGCAGGACGCGGGAACTCCAAAGTCTTCCAACGCCCCGGAGGGAACTTAGTGCAGGGATACTAAGTGGTAGAAAAAATGACAGCGAAAATCACCCATTTTAAGGACTATTTGATTATTAATTACACTTCCGCGGAACACGCTTCATCCTCTTCATCCTCTTCATCATTCTTTCGCTGTGGATGGGAACTGGTTGAAAGCGTCATCAGGAGAATACCCGAAACAGTTCAAACCTTCCACGAGCCTGCTCAGGACCCATTTCCCACTGGCGACCTTCGAGAGGGCGGCAAATGTGAGCCTTCCCCGCTCTGAGACCTGACCCTGGAAAGGGCAAAGGCCACGTGCGCACCCTCAGCTGCGCGCTTGCGGTGTCGGGGGTGCGAACGGCCAACGAGGTGCACATAACATCCCGGGTCCTCGGCTCCCCGAGACCCCACGCGAACCAAGTCTCACTCGGAAATGCGCCACGAATTGCTCGACCCGAGGGCCTGAATTTTGGAAAGCTTTCCAAAGCACGCACGGGTGCGGAACGGCGAACGCCAGCTCCCCCGACATGCTCGCGGTGGCGACCTCACCCAGGAGCGCGGGCGGACAAGGGCGGCGGAGACTCCAGCTTGGCCCAAGGCGGGCGGGGGCACTGCGGTGGCTGGGGCGGCCGGGGTCACCGGCAACGCCGGGGTGGCCGCAGGCACCAGGGCGGGTTGGTGACGGGAGAGTGGGGTTCCGGAGCACCGCGGGGTGGCGGGGCGCCAGGC